GCTCCAGATTCTGGAGTGAGAAGCCCTTCAGAGTGGTCATCCAGCCGGTGGAGTAGGGAGTATTCTTCCTGTATAGAATCTAACATGGCCATTAGACATCTATCTCATTCATTCCTTCAACAAATGTTTTTTTGAGCACATATTATGTGCCTGATACTATTCTAGGCACTGGAGATACAGCAGTGAATGAAGCAGACAAAAACCCCTGCCCTCCTGGACAGAATAAATAATATGGTAGATGCTTATTGCCATGGAGAAAAATTAAGCAGGGAAGGGATAGGGGATGTTGAAGAGACAACGGTTGCAATTTTAAATTGTGTGTGTATGGGGGGAGGGCGTTCAAGAAGAGGATCACTGACGAAGTAACCTTTGAGTGACCATCTGAGGACATCTGGGGCAAGGTTCTAGGCAGGGGGGAAGGGCTTGAGACCCAGTGAGGAGGTCACTGATGGAGGAGGGTAACAGCCATGAGGTCAGAGGTACCATGAGGGGCCACAATCATGTGAACCTCACAGGCTGCACCTTGAGTAGGACGTCAGCCACGGGAGGGTTTGGGCAGGAGAGCAAAGTGGGCCAAGCATCACCTGGTACTGGGGCCTGGGATGGCCCCTCCGGTGCATCCACTCACACCAATCCTGAACTCTGGTGTTTTGACAGCTACGAAACATGAGCCAGAAATAATTTTGAATCGATTCCTTCTCCTTTCAAGATTTGTTCCATAGAAGAATAATTTATTCTCAGTTTAGGTCATGTGGATCCTTTGACTTCATTCTTTCTGACAAATACTAAATATTTCTATGCATGTGTGTTAACAGAACAAACTTAAACTGTGTATTTCAGGTAAATGACTTTTTATAAAAACGTCTAACCTCCCTGGGGCTCAGTTTGCTCTCCTTCGAATTGGGGGTGAGCATAGCACCCAGACAAGGTCCTGTCACAGTGCCTAACACACGAGATGCTCAGACCACGTTGTCCCCTTTTCCCATCCTCTACTGAAATTCTTGCAAATTAAATAACCATTTGTTCCTTTTCACCTCAGTACATGACTTTGTAGTTTTAGATCTCTTTGCCACTGAATATATTGGATTTGGACGACTTCAGTTGACCTAACTTTACTATTCCTTTGACCACTGTTAAATTAATTTTTTAATGTACATAAGATACATCTGTTTTCTTCCCATTTAAGTAGAAGTGAAAGGATTTTACAAACTGCACTAAGAAGGAACATATCCACCAAAACAAAGCTGAATAAAAGCAGAACACATGTAAAGATTTCATTCTTGCTAATGAAAAAAATAGGTATATATTTAAGATATCATGTTCTGATACACTGTACATTTTTCTCTATTAGGATAGAATAGCATGGCCAGAAAGAGGCATATTGATATTTTTCACAGCAACTCTAAGCTTTAAAAAATGTTAATGGCATAAACTCACATATAAATACCAAATTACTAAAAGCAGTAGCAATTAAATGTTTAATGTCAACCAAAGCACATTAGCTAATGAGATGTTTTCAGAAGTTAATAATGTGATTAATCACCAATTGATAAAAACTGGAGAAAAGAAATTCTTTTGTTCTAATAGCTCTCCAGATCCAAGTGCTGCCTGGTAAGAGGCAGGTCTTGGCTCAGGGACCATTTGAAGTCGGGATGGTTGGCGTCCGAGAGACAGATGGCTCCTCAGGCAGGTCCTCACAATGTGGTGCTTACTGGTGGAGTCTTTTATTCCAGAGTCTGGTCCTCAGGTTCACTGATCTTGTAGCCCCAGAGTCAGCAGGATCAGGGGGATCAACTCATGCTCACCAGTCTTACAAGAGGTTGTTACATAAACCAGATTGGCAGTATGTTAATTTAACATATGGACTAAAAACTACCAAGGGGTTGGTACATTACCTTTGAACCAGCTGTTACTCTGCCCTGTATGAAAATCTGTGTGGGGAGCCAAATTGCAGCAGGAGTAAGGGAATTCGTTTATATATTCATTCATCTTTAAATTGAGTACCTACTTTGTGCAAGGCTCTGTTCTAGGTGCTGTGGAGGCATTCCCTGCCCTCTTAGAGCGTGCATTCTAATGGAGGGTAGAGAGTGACAGATGATGAGCAACTAACTACGTATGAATCATTTCAGACAGTGATATATGCTTTAGAGCTTTGCTACTCAAGTGTTGCATGGGGGCCTGCTGCATGGACACGATTTGGTAGCCTGTTAGAAAGGCAGAATCTCAAGCCCCACCCCAACCTATGGAATCAGAACCCACATATGAACAAGATTCCCATTTGATCGATGTGCACATTAAAGTTTGAGAAGTACTGCTTTAGAGAAAAATTAAGCAGGACGAGGGGCACGGAGAGTGCCAGGGGCAGAGATTGTTATTTTATATAGAGTACAGGGAAGGCCTCACAGCTAGGGTGATACTTGTTCAGAGCCCCGACAGAAGTGAGGGTGGGAGTCACATGGATATCTAGGTGAAGGATGTTCTAGATAGAGAAATCAGCCAGTGCAAAGGCCCTAGGACAGGAGCATGTCCAGCACATTTGAAGAGCAGTAGGAGGTCAGTAAGCGTGAGCAGAATGAGTTGAGGAAAGAGCAGTGAGCTATAAGGCCAGAGAAGTAACAGAGTTGCTTGGAGGGGCAGATCACTTCGGGTCTTACAGAAATTATAAGGACTCCGGCTCTTACTTTGCATAGGGTGGGAACCTCTGGAGGGTTTTGAGCAGAAGAGGGTTATGATCTGAATTTTTAAAGGATCGTTCTAGCTGCTGTGTTGCAAATAAACTATAGGGACAGGGACAAGGTATGAGGCCATGGCAGTAAATCAAGTGAAAGATGTTGATAGCTTGGACCACAGTGAAACAGTGGTAATAGGAAGAAGTGAACAGATTCTGGATATATTTTGAAGATGGCGTTGACAGGGTTTGTTGATGAATAGGATACTGGGCGAAAGTATAAGAGAAGGGTCAACATTCACGGCAAAGTTATTGGCCTGAGCAACTGGAAGGAAGGAATTGCCTTTTATTGGCGTGGAGAATATCACAGGAAGAAAAGGTTTTGGGGGGAGGAATTAAGGATGGGTTCTGGACATATTAAATTTGAGATATCTCTTAAGTTTTTAATTGGAGATTTGAGCTGGCAGTTGGATATAGGAATCTAGAATTCAGAGTAGAGCTTGGATATATAAATGAGCATCATCAGAACAGAGATGGTATTTAAAGCCGGGAGTCTATGAGATCATCTCAGGAGTGGGAGAGAAGAGAACTTGGTACTTGGGTGTCACCAAGCTGAAACAGCCAGTGTGGCCATCTGGTCCACCAGGATAGACCTGCCATTTATCCACATTACTCACATCTGCCAGCCGGAGCACACTCTCCTGGTGTGGGCAAGTCCTTGCCTGACCTTCGGTTCTTGTTTTCTAGATTTCCTGCAGAACCCACTCCCTCCCCGTAACTCTTCCTTCCTACAGCCAATTGCTTTTCTTACTATTTTCTTTACTGTAGTTCTAAGAACATATTGGTCCTTTTGATTGGACTGAAGTGTTTTCCAAGGTTCTTCACCAGTGATCATGGGAGACACACATCCATTTCATGTCGAAAGTGTTTTCTCTTTCATACTTTCCTAACCCAGCTTATTAAAAAGTTGAAAGAATTGTACAGCCAACACCCATGTTCCCACCACCTAGATTCCACAATCAGCATTTTACTGTATTTTTATTTTCATGTATCTGTTTATCTGTGCATCCCACCAATCACCCATTAATCCATCTTATTTTTTGATGCATTTCAAAGTAAATTGCAAACATCGGTAGGCTTTAACCTGAAACACTTTAGCATGCATATCATTGCCTAGAGTTCAATATTCGTTTGTGATGTTTCTGCGTAAAATTTACATACAGTGAAATGCGCAGATCTCAAATATATAATTTGATGAATTCTGACAAACGTATATATACCTGTGTAACCCCAGCCCCTACCGTGATATAGAACATGATCATCACCCTGTTGCCCTTTGCAGATTAACTAATACCAGCTCCACCCGCTGGAGGCGCCTACTATTCTAATAGCACATTCTTCCTACTGACAATGGCTTCAGTTACTCTGTTCTTTTCTCCCGGCTCTGAGGACAACATGATCTTTTTTATTAGACCAAGGTGTTTCCAAGCTTCCCCAGCCAGCCATTTGTGGAGGTGGGAGGGAGGGAGGTCCACCAGGTTATATTTTAATCATTGCTCACTGAGAGGGTGACTTCACTACAATAGTTAGAGTCCTCTTCTCGGTGGCCTTTGCCTCCTGACTCCAGCACTGCTCTGATCTTCAGATGTCTTGGACATCACCAATGAAGAAAATTGATACAGATCCATCTTCCTCCTCCTTCTCTTAGTCATGGTGAAGGCTAGCATTTATTGAGCACCTCCTAAAGCACCACGTGTATCTTGTCTCACTGACGCCTCGCAAAGTGAGTGCCCCATTTTACGGATGAGGAAACAGACTCAGAGACCTTGAGTAACTCGCCCAAGGCAAGAACCTTTCTGATCCCAATCCCTCTTCACCAATCTCATGACTTGAGACTTGGAGGCGTTTATCTCCGGGTTGCCTTCCCCTTGCCAGTGCTCCTTGTCATGTGCTTCTTGCTGGCTCTTTCCTGCAGCTGTGGTGAAGAACCCGCCCAACAACCTGTGGATCATTGCCGCGGTGCTGGCACCCATCGCCGTGGTCACAGTCATCATCATCATCATCACTGCTGTACTCTGCCGGAAGAACAAGAACGACTTCAAGCCGGACACTGTGATGAACCTGCCTCAGAGAGCAAAGGTACATGGTGGAAGCGGGAAGAAAGGTGCGGGGGTCCCAGCCTGCAGGGGCTCTGCCTGCCTTTTCTCCCTTGGCTTTCGAGGCCCTTGCAAGTACCTTCAGAAACATCCTACTGAGCTTCATTTGGAGAGAGACCCTTTATTAATTTCCGTTTGAATATTTAAAAATTATAGTAAAATATACATAACAAAATTTACCATTTTAACCATTTTTAAGTGAACAATTCAGTGTTGTTTTATACACCTTACTTTATGATCAGGACATGATAGCTAATTTTTACCTAATGCTTACTCTTTGCTGTAACTGCTTCTGAGTGCTCTGCTTGCAGCAACTCAGTTAATCCTCACTGCACCAAGGTAACTGAAGCACAGAAAACCAGGAGCTAGATAGAGCTGAAAGAGGCCTTAATGGTCATCTAATGTGACGCCCTCCTTTTACGGAGAAGAAGCGACTCCGAGATCACACAGTTAGTAAATAGCAGAACTGATGGTGGATCCAGGTCTCTTGGCTCATAAAGCAAGGCTTTTGGGAAACATTAGACCCTCAAAACTTTCCTTCTTCTGTTAGCCGGAGTGGCTTGGCTTCAGAGGCTGCCAGGACGGGCAAGCTACAGAGCTTCGGCCAACCGGCTGTCAAATCAGTCCAGTGGCTTCAAGGAAGCTTGGCTGGGAGCCTCGTCCACTCTCCGCAGCCTCCCCAGGTCTGCCCCAGCCACCTCCGGTGACTGGGAAGGTAATGGACTGCAGAAATTCTGAAGGCTAATTTTCTAGTCACCTAGCTCCCTTCGTGGTAGTCCCTGAAGGAAATTTAATAACCTGTGCTACTCGATGTTTAAAGAATGCCTTACAATTTGCCAGGCTCATTTAGGTCTGTCGCCTCGTTTGCTCATCATAGCAGCCCTATGAGGTAGGTCGTAGCCAGGACAGGTTTTATTATTTTCATTTCACTGCTAAGGGCCCCAGAGAAAAGAGGGACTGTGGGACTTGTCCAAAGTCACATAGCTCTCAGCAGAGGGTTAACTCAGGCCCATTTCTGAGTCTTTGGGCTCTTTCTACTTTATACACCTCCCTGAACCCTGAGCCTTGGCAGATGGAATCCCCTTCCAGCTCTGAACTTGAGAGCTTTGTCCACCTGTGCAGGAATGACACAGTGCACAGAGTTTCACATCCTTGCCGGGAGCCACACAGGCCTCGTTCTTTTTGGGTGATCACACCTCGCTTCAGCAAAAGTAATCAGATGAATGTTACTGTTTATTAAACCAATTCACCTGTTGAGAAGCTGCAGCCTGATTTGACACCCTGTCTGCTAAAGAGCCAAACCCCAAAGAATGTTGTTGTTTCTGTTGACACCAAGCCGCCCGCTTCCCAGATGCGGCACGATGTTGGTAATAACCCAAGCAGTGAAAAATGAAACTGTTCCAGGAAGGAGTATTTCATTTCTATCTTAGCTTAGTTACAACCTGAGCCTTTCAGACATAGCAGTAATCACTAGAATCTAATTGCAGCCCGGTCCAGCAATGCAAAACATGTCATACTGAGGTCATAAATGCCATCTTTGTGTTATAGATTAAGCCAAAATGTTATTAATTTGCCAAGATGAGTTGGCCAGCACATTTCAGCATACCTTCTGGCTTGAGCACTATCTGAAGCTGGAACAGATTGATGTTTGTGGGTTCTCACAGCCCCTTTTTTTATATCCCTACCCAATGCATTGTGCTTCGAGAGATACCTGGCTGATGTTGAAAATTAAGCAAATTTATGTTCCACAAGATGATTAAATTCGCTTGTGTGTGTTGATGCTGGTGGTTTTCTCCCTCTATGAGGCCGGTCTACACACTTTGATTTCCAAAGCCCTTTTATCATGGGAAATGAGCAGGGTGGACCTGCCTCTTTCTTACCACAGTTCTTCTGTTGCAACCCAGGGACACTGCAGTGTTTGGAAGAGGAGAGCCACCTGCCTCACTGCTCACAACCTGTGTGTGTGAGCAGAATTTATTTAATGTCAAGGGATGAGGCGGGACGAAAAAGTTCGCCTTCGCCACCAGTCCAGAGACTAGAAGGATGGTCTCCCAGTCTCCCGGGATATCACTGTGTGTCATCAGAACACAGGATGCAGTGCCAGAGTACATTCCCGGGCATCCTTGCTGAGACTCGGTAGTATACTTAGCATGCTATGAAGATGGGAGTGTGACTGTCCTGGGAGCCGAGGCCAGGGCGTGTACGCCCCCCGTCTGTCAAAGGCAGAACCTGTTACCAAAGTTGTCATTTAGGCTTCTGCAGATAGAATGTCAAGAAGGAGATGGGGAGTGTTGGGGGTAGGTAGACGGGGTAAAGGAGGTCAAATATTTGGTGACAAAAAGAAATCTAACTATGGGAAGTGAACACACAGTGTAAATATATTTCTGCCTTACCGTTAAAATGTACAGCTGAGACTTATTGGATTTCATTAACCAGTGTCACCATAAAAAATTAATTAATTCAAAAAAAAAAAAAAAAGAAGGTGATAAATGCAGGAGGGCCAGGCATCGTGCCATTTGTCACCTCCTTTCTTCCTAATTCACTTCCCTTTACTCTTCGTCATTGAGTCCACAGCCTTTGCCCAGTTTTTTCCTTCATATAATTGAGGAGAACATGGCTCCCCGGGATAGGCAGTCTTAGCAGACACCAGTTAGGGCCATATCCAGACACAGGATGGACTTGGAGGGCCTGCAGTGGTTGGCTTGGCCATCTGCTCAGAACAGGTTGGTCACTCCCAAAGGTATCCAACTGTTTCCTTTTCCTCGCATGCTAGTATGCCCTGTACTTAACTTCTTTTTGCCTCAATTTCCTCACCCATGAAATGGAGATAACAGTATTCACTTACAGGTTGTTGTGAGGATCAAGTGAGTTACATAAGTTACCTCGAGCTATGCCCAGTATATAATAAATATTATGTACAAGTTGGCTTTTATTATTACACATGCTTTCTTTTTTAAATATGAGTACCTTTGAAATTATTGGAGATGACTTTGATTTGATAATTTTATAAAACTCATCGAAGTAACCATAGATACTTAATGATGATAAGTTAATGGGGTTGGGGTTCATCATGTTTGTCCAATGGGCAGTTAGCTAATCTCAGGTAATTTTCAAGTTGAAGGTTGAAAGACCACTACCCTGTCAGTCAGAAGAGTGAGGGACTGGTCTTGAGTCTTTCACCAATTAGCTGTGTGATCTTGGGCAAGTCACTGAACCTCTTTGAGCTTTGTCTTCTTACCTGTCAAATGAAGACTATGATGTTTGCCCTGCTTACCTCATGGAGTTATTGTGAGGATGAAATGAAGTGTCAGTGTTTTGCGGGCTCTAAATACTGAACATATGCAGGGATTATTATTAACCTGATAACAGTGGCCACGTTTTAAGCTTCTAATTCCTTAATGTCTCTATTTCTGCTCACCCATCATCAACCCAGTACCCTGAAGTATCCAACAGATAACTTCAACTCAGTGTGAAGGGTGAGAAGCCAAATCCAGAGAGAGCGTCGGGGAGGAGAGGGCCAGAGCCAGCTTGTCCTCACTGGGTTCTTGGGAAGTCTTAGCTGCCATTGGAGACTTCTAATTCCTCACTAATGTGCCAGGAGTCTTAGCACAGAAGTGAGGCCGAGTACAGTAGGAGAGCCCAGCCAAGATGGCAGGCTGCAGAAGGAAAGGAAGGGCCATAGGAAGAATTATCAGCAGTGGTTGGAGGTCCTGGCTCTGGCTCCACCACAGACGAGCTGTGTGAGCCTGGGGAAGTCACTTGACCTCTCTAAGCCTCAGTTTCTTCATCTTTAAAATGAGAAACCATAATAGTACCTACCTTCTTGAACTGTATGACGAAATGACAAGTTTATGTCATGTTTTTGATACCGTACTAGTAATAACAAATGAAGCCGAAACTGTGTTCCTTGAGGGTCAGAAGCCAGTTATTATTCGTATTTATTTCGCCAGCATCAGGCGCAGTCCTGGGCACAAGCCAGTGCTCAACAACTACAGTTGGAACAAAGCTGAATAGGATAATGGGGACGTGAGGGTATTGCAGAAAAGGGGCCAACAGGAGATGAAATGGGGCAGGTGGATTCAGCCAGAATGTGAAGGGCCTTGCCTGCCTTGCCAAGGACTTAGAGGGCCTCGAAACATTTTTAATGACCTGATATGATTTAAGGGAGATAACTTTGGAGCTTGTCAAGGGCGGGCCTGGAAAGGAGTAGAATAGAAGCAACAAGACCAAGGCAGGAGTCAATAAAAACAGTGGACTAGGAGAGGAAAGCTCAGCTTCTGGAAACATTTCAGTCGAACCAATTGATAACCAATTGATCATAGGAGGAGCAGGCAATTCAGTATTCTAGAAACACTATCCAGTCATCCTAAAGCTCCACTCTTAGGGGAGGGAAATGAATAGACAAACACTGTTTCAGACACAGAGTCCCAGATCCTGGCATAGAATGTCATGATTACCGCATGAGTCAGAGTGTGAGTGTCTCAGAGAAGAGGGAGGGGTGCGCACACCCCTTCCCAGAGTGAGTGACCCATGGACTTGGGGGAACCGTCCATGGCAGAGCTACAAACAGCTTAAAATAAGAAGCTTTGCTGGATTTAGCAATAAAACTCTGTTCTGAAACACAGTAGCAAGATTTAACAGGTTGGATCACAGTCCTAGACCATTAAATCCAGCTGGAGCCTTCCTGTTATGTTTCCCAGCTAAATTGGCTGCAGAAGGAAGAGCTAGTTTCTAATCATATCAAGTTCTGATAAAACCCAAATGGTGGAGGTCAAATTTCATCTCCAAATTTTCTTGAAGAGAATCACTGATGTCTGTTTCACCTGGACTATGATTTAGTAGGAAGGCAAACGATAGTGATGAATTTTGATCGAGCACTTACTATGTGCCAGGCACTTAGCTAGATGCTGAATTTGAATCTACTTATTTGATCCACACAGCATCCCTTTGAGGGTGGTTAAATATCACTCTCACATACAAACATCTTTTATCCTGTTAACACTATTATTACCTCCATTTTACAGATGAGGAAACTGATGTACAGGGAATTTCAGTCATACCCAAGGTCACCCAGCTAACAAATGGCAGAGTCAGGATTTGAATCCAGACAGTCTGTTTTTGGAGCTGTTGCCCTTAACCGCCCCATTGTCCTGCCTCAAATCTGTATGGCGCTGCTTTAGGGTATAAAGCAGAACAGAGACACTCCCAGGGACTGTTTAAACATGCCTCTTGGTTTTTCATTACCACACTAATAGAGGACTGTTGGGTTTTGCTCACAGCTGCCCTATTCACTCGGGATTTCAGACTTTGCGCAATAAAAGCCTTACTAATTTCCTAGTAATGAATTATAGGAAAGCCAGCCTGCTTAAGGGAGAGGTCTAGATTAAATAGTGATTTCATAAATTCCATTTTACTGTTAATAATTGTACTACCTCACATGTGGTAGCATGTTTCTTTCCCTCTGTTTTCAGGGATGGTGGAGGTATAGCAGATACATATATCTTCATTTCTCAGGTGAAAAATTGAGGTTCAGAGTTCAAGTAACTTGGCAAAGTCACACACCTGTTACTGCACAGGAGTGAAGGGATGACAAAATATTCCTAGGTAGGAGATGATACAGGACCTGTTAGTTAATGTATCAATTAAGAGTTTCTAATTAGCCGTACCTAGAGACTTAAAATTAGTGGTCCAAAATTCTCGAAGTTCATTCTCACACACATATTTGCATCTTGTTTACACTATTCATTTTTCTGAATAAATATTATCTATAGAGATTCTGTAGCTAGCTGGAATTAACATGGCCTCTGATTTTGCTGACAGAAATTATGGAGATTTGATTTAACTCTTGTTTATCAGATAGCTAAGTATGGTCCCATCACATACCCTTTCCTGCCTGTCTTCTCTCAAAGCCGTCATTAGAGTCACACTTTGCCAGAAACATGACTGTAAATCTGTTTCCTCTTTTGCAGCCTGTGCAAGGCTTTGATTATGCCAAACAGCACCTGGGCCAGCAAGGAGCGGATGAGGAGGTCATCCCTGTGACCCAGGAGACGGTGGTCCTTCCACTCCCTGTTAGAGATGCTCCTACCTTGCAGGAGAGGGACGTCGCCCAGGATGGAAGCACTATCAAGACGGCCAAGTCCACTGAATCCAGAAAGAGGTAGGCACGGGGCCAACGTTTCCCTCTCCGTGTCAGCAAGAGAAATAATTGATGATGAGAGCAGACAAAGCCTTCAAGTTAATTCCTCTGTCCTCTTTAAAAATTCCCCTTTGTGCTCATTTTGAATATTTGAAAAGGAGACTAAGGGAGATGAGCAGAATCACAATACCTGCTTTTCACGATCCACCCTTTGTAAGATTTCATATCGCAAATCAACCACACAGCGGAGATTTAGCTTGTAGTATAATAAATTTGGCACTGATGTCAAACGTGGTTTTAAACTTCTCTTAAAAGCGGTGCCTTTCATTCAGCATAACAGTTGTTTTTATCTGACAGTTTCGCAATAGTTTATGATTTTAGTTAAAAAACTTTATTGAGTTTTTGCTATGAACAGAGTACATTGACAGGCATTGAGAGGACTACGAAAAGGTTTAAGGTTGATTCTTGACCCCAAGGATCTCATGATGGAGAGACAGAGAGATAAACAGCTGGAATACCAAGCACGATGCGTGGGCGCCCACAGCGGAGTCCGAACAAAGGGCTGTGGAAAAGGGAGAAGGAAGAACTTAATTCTGCTGAGGGAAAGCTCGTGGAGGAGCTTCCGTTTCAGCTGGGCCTTGAAGGGTGAGTCGGGTGTCCGTAGGTAAGAAGAGATAAAGGCGCTCAGTCTGAAGAGCTGGGAGAGATCACGGACAGCCATGCTCACTTAATGGTGAATGTCCCTGGAGTTTAGAGCTCATGGTGGCTGGGATGTTGTGAAGGATGAAACCAGAAGATAGATTAAAATTGTGGAGAGTTTTAACGGCCAGGCTAAGGAGTTTGGCTTTTATGTTCTAGGCAATAGAAAACCACAGAAAGTTCTTCAGGCAGACAGTCATGTCTAGCCTGTATTTCAGAAAGCTGACTCAGGTGGCAATGTGGATAATATATGGGAGAGGTGAGGCTAACGGGAAGGGGATTTGCTATAAGGACTTTGCAAAAGCCTTATAAAGAGATACTGAACTCTATGGCAAGCCCTGTTGGCTGGCTAAACCAGCTGCTGTCGCCAACCCTTCTCCTTTGCCTTGAGACCACAATGGCTGGGAGAGCTACATCTGTCCTGCCTCCTTTCCTCTTTCCCTCCTTTCACCTAACATAGTTATTGATTCTTTGCTGTTTACCAGACACCGATGGTACTGCAGTGAACAAGACAAAGTTCCTGCTCTGATGGGGCTTACAACGTGGTGGGGACAGATGGGCAATAAACAGAGAAACAGATACATAGTAGGTCGGGTGACGATGAGTATAAAGAAGAAAACTAAAGCATGGTACAGAGATAGATGGAGAAGGGGACATGATGCTATTTTAGCAGGAAGTCAAGGAAGGCCTCTCTGATAAAGTGACATTTGGGAAAGACCTGATTGAAAGGATGTGTAAGCCTCACGGCTGTCTAGGGCAAGAATGTTCCAAGTCGACGGAACAGCGTTTACAAATCCCAGAGGAGGGAGCTTCTTGACTTGCTTTCAAGAAGAGCAAGAAGGCCCCAGGGGCTGATGTGAACTAGGAGGAAGTAGTTGCAGTTGAGTTAGAGGAGTTGCCAAAAGCCAAGCCTGTCAGGCTCTACAGACCAATGTCAGAACTTGGAATTTTGTTGTGAATAAAGGTCAGAAGTCATTGGAGGGCTTTGAGAAGAACAGTGACATGATGCGACTTGCAGTTTTAAAGGCTCGCTCTGGCTGCTGTGTGGAAAGTAGGCTGTAGAGAAGCAGAGCAGAAGCAGGCAGACCTGCTAGGAGGCCGTTGCAGGAGGCCAGCTGAGAGATGGCGGTGTGAGACACAACTGGATTCTAGAGGTATTCTGGAGGAAGGGCTGACAAGATTTTCTGATCCATCATTGGTGGAGTATGGAAATACAAAGGAATGAATTTTCCATTTTGTAGTGATTAATGTCCTTGTGTGGGGGGCCAGGAAACTGGGGCCTCCTGGCACATGTTCTCTCATCCTCCAGAAGGCTAGCGCTGGCTTTCTCAGAAGGTAGGTTACAAGGTTCCAAGGGCGACAAGAAAATAAGCCCCGAATTGCAAGCACTTTTTCAGTCTCTGCTCTATTATATTTGCTACTGCCCTATCGGCCAAAGCAAAATACATGGTCAAGTCCAGAATCACTGTGTGAGGGAACTCCCCAAAGTTTGGTTACAGGGAGGTGTGAACAAACTGGGACCATTACTGCACCAGGCTACCCCAGCAAGGGAGAGCCTAAGCAAGGCAGAATTGAAATATACAGAGACACATACGTCTATTCCTGCAATAGATGATTTATCTGAGTTGTCTAGCAAGTAATATTACCTAAATAATTATTCTCATGGTGATTTTTGCCAAATACAATAAAAGCATGTTAACAACTTATCACCTTAGAGGACACTGAAAAGGAATAAGTAGAATTACTAAAATTAGGATATTAACATAGCACTGTCAGGAAGAATAAAAATTCTTTTCCACCCATTCCAGCTGAGTGGTTTAAATTGCATAAAGATTTCTTTAAAAAAATTTTTTAAAACAAGTATTCTTTTTTTTAAAGAGTTTGTTTCAAGCATTTCTTCTTAAATTAGCAAGAAGTCGACTCTTGCTAACCAAATTGAATTAGTTACCCCAGATTTTTATTAAGAAATATTAGCAAATGAAGCAAATACAGATAAAGAAAACAATGTGTACAGTGCTGAGTGATTTCTGTGTTTGTCTCATAATTTTACCACTACAGTATAATTTTACTAAGGGCTGGCTATATCATTGCCAGAGCTGTGGGAGAAACCTAACCTCTGTTCAAGTTCAGCTGACCAGAACCTCTGATCGTGTGGGAAGATTTTAAGATGCCAAGCCAAAGAGCAAACCCGTCATGCATCTGTGTTTCTGGCTTTCCCATCTTGCCACATCAGCTTTTTGACTCCCACTCGATCAGGACTGCAGGACCTCTCAAAATGGGTCTGTTAGATGATCTGAAAAGTTTTACAAGGGAAAAACAGGGGAAACCAGTGATTTAGTGGTCTTTAAGGTATTTTTAAAATTGGTTTAAAACTGGAGGAAAATGAGCATTCAGCCACTTGCAGACAACCAGACAGATATTGTGGGTCATTTTCCTTACTTAGTCTCCTGGTGATGCTATTTTGTTGGTCTCTGACTGGGATTAATGGGCCGGCATGGAGAATCAACCTCACAGGGACAGCTATTTGCAGTGGGTACTTCATTGAGCTGATTGGCCATAATTGTTCAGCCATTGATTAATTCCCACCCACTCCCCTGAAGTTGTTCTTCAGGTTCCGTGTACACCCATATCCTCAGAATGGGGACTCTTCAGTAGCCCAAAACTGCAATCTTGCAGGTGACATTATCTTTCAAAAACATGTTTGTTACCATTGTGTGAGTGGACACATGTACAAGTCTTTCTTGTTTTGGATCAGAAATTTTGGGTTGATGGCCCCATGTAAATATAGGTCTATAAACTGGCACAAAGAGTAAAGAAGAATAGGGTTTTTTCTCTCTAGATATCTGCTCATTCACACCTTTCCTTGAAGTAAGAAGAACAGCTAGAAGATTATTTCAGGATCAAATGAGAAAGATATGCAAATGTTGCAAAAACCATTAAGTATTTTGTGCATGTCAAATAGATTACAAGAAGCCTTTCTCTTTCCTTTCCTCTGGACCTCACCAAAAGCCTCTTTGTCCCAATAAAGCCAGTTAGAAGATTATGTGCCATTAACTGTGAGATTTTGAAAATAACCAAAGGGCATATGTCGTCTCTGTGTGTGTGTATTTGTATATCCAGCATTCAGTGATCAAATAGCTATTGAGTAAATAATATATATTCAATAAATTAATGCCTTATCCATATTTTCCCAAACTACATTCTTTATGTTACTAATTTTATAGGATTAACAGGTTTTTGTGGTAAAAGAGGCCTGTAGCCAAATAAACTGGGAAATGCTGGATTAAACAAAACAAGATGAGTCTCAATGACAGAACAAATCAGAGCCTTCGATGTGCTAATGTGCATTATGAATATCCAAAGAAGGGATAGAGTAAACAACATTTCCCAAACTTATACTTGTCCGTGGAACTTTGCCAAAGAACATGTCACTTGGCCCTAGTGCTTTTGGCACACTCTGCCTTACCCCCACGGTTGCAAGTGGGTACTTTTCATTGTGGTTTTTAGGGTGCTAAAGTACATGAAAGTATATAGAACTGAGCATTCTCAATTTCCAGAAGATGAAGAGGGGGAAGGGAGGAGGAAAAAGGCTTCCACTTAAGAAACACCTTACTTACTGGTCAAGTGCTATATTTTATTCCAATTTTCCAGTGTAGGGACCAGATGACACGAAGTGCTAAATTTGGACAATTGACAATACAAGAACGAGGGGTTTGATGAGGCCTCTGGTTATCTGCCTCCTGGTTATCTTCCCCACAGAGGGCAAGACAGCTGATGTTTATACTCAGCCCACCCACAGGCTAGCATGATCTGAGGCCTGGGGGAGCATGAACCTCAGCAGGGGCTCGCAAGAGCCCATTTTCCCACCAGATTCTGGAAGACCAGCGTCTGCTCTGAGGGAAGGCAAGAGGCCCTGTGTTAAGGCTTGCTTTGTCTGGGACATTGTAGAAGACAGTAAAAGGAAGCTGCCCTGGCATGTGGGGAAAGCCCCTCCCTTCAGCGGGAGCTCTGGCTTCCAGGGTGATTTGCCACTTCCCGACTCTGCCCTGGATGGACACTTCACTTCCCTGAGCTAAACAAGGGTGACAATCACCAAATCTGTGGATCGTCATGATTCATTAACAGTTTTGAAAGCATTCAGCATTGTCCTTGGCACATAGTAGGTCTTCCTGATGCAGAGCTCTTGGAGAGCATGGGTAGCGTCTTAACATCTGTATATATTGTATACCTGGCACACTGCCCAGCACAGAGTTGGTGCACAGAAAGTATTTCCTGAATGAATGAATAGCTCAAATTGGTAATTTTATATGTAAGTAGTTAGCAGTTAGCACAGTTAAAGAACGTGTGTGTGTGTGTGTGTGTGTGTGTGTGAGAGAGAGAGAGAGAGAGAGAGAGAGAGAGAATGAGAAGTCAATGATGGAGTGACTTTAGTAGTCAAGATATATTCTGTAAAGAGAATAACCAAAGAAAACCATGGTTCATTCCTATCCTTGAAGATGCCATGTGAATCAAACATTCTGCGACACTATCCAAAGTGCTGTGTTTTAAAAAGATCATGCTTAAAAACCATCGCTACTGTTTCCATAGTCACCGGGGGTTAATGAAAAAGAGGTGGGAACTGAGGGCTGCTCTCACCGAACTTCTCTGCAGAGCTAAGCGCCAGCAAATGCACTTCAGAACAACCGGCCACTTAACCCATGCTGTAGTATGGGGTTTTTTTTTTTCTTTTCCTATATCATGTCTTCTTTGTGGATAAAACCAGAATGAAAGAATACATACATAAACTGTGCAAATAAAACAACCTTGAGAAGAGGCTGCTTAGATGAAACTTACCATCTTCCTGTTGCTATGGTTACCTCCAGCAGGTCGCCCAGTGAGAATGGCTCTGTCATCAGCAACGAATCAGGGAAGCCCAGCTCGGGGAGGCGCTCACCCCAGAATGTAATGGCACAGCAGAAAGTGACAAAGGAAGAGGCACGGAAGAGAAATGGTGAGACGCTTTCTCTGCCAAGCGCCGCCCCCGAGCCTGTCCCCCACACACAGGCACTCAGGCGTGCACACACTCACACACACCAGGCTGCTTTAACCCTCAGTTTTTTCTGTTGTGTCCAACAAAGGCCAAGAATCAGTTTCCTGCCTACCTGTTGGGGTATGGCCTTACCCCGTTCTCTGAATTACTCTGTCTCGTGCCCTCTGCCCTCTGTTCTCATGGAATTGTCCAGGGCCTTAAAAGAACTCTACACAGAATGAACTGATGTTTGCTTAGAGATTTTTCTAATTCTTGAGTGAATCGACATTTCTAGCACCAGGTCCTCTAGGGTGGCAGGTCTCTGAAACGCCGCTTGTCTTGGATATTGCCCTCATTTTCTTGCCCTGACTCCCCTGATAAGGTTCAGGGGTTCAGTCTATGTCAATGACTCCAGATATTGCAAATTTACCTCTCCTAGGAAAAACAGCCGAGTAATAAATCTGTCATCATAAAAATGAGCCTATGCTTCTGCCTTTAACTCTTGAGATTCTTTCTCACACAGATCTTCTCCCTCCTTATAAAGGTTTGGTGTTGGAGTTTATTTATAAGTCACTGGAGCTACCTGACTCCGCTGCAGCACCATCTGCAGATCACATCTGTTGGAACCCATCATGTAGCCTCTCTCTCCTGATTGTACCTTTGTGGTGACCCCCCTCTCCACTCAGTCCTTTCGTGGGTGATGCTGGCTTACTGGAGCCCAGATTCAAGTACCCTGTACTGCCACTCGGATCGGGGAAAATTCCTTTTGATTTCAAAGGGTCGGAGGTGGAGTCCTACAGAAATGCCAGGTGAAAAGCCAAGCAATCTGGGGCTCTGGACAGCTGTGCTTCCTTTTTAAAAAATTTGATGAAGTGCGTTTCAGGGGCTCTCTCTTAAAGCTAATGCCAGAATATTCTTTCGTTTTCAGATGTCATGTACTTATTTCTTTTTTTCTGACCAAAAACAGAAAGAAAAGAAATAATGCCACAATGGATTTGTCTTCTGCAGAAAGAATGTGGTCCCCATTCCCAGTCATTATATAAAACACTTGTTTAAACTGTTATACTTATTTGACCCTTGAATTTTTCCTTCTCCCGAATTCCCCACGCCCTGTAACACAGAGACTGTGCTTTTTCACACCAGAATCAGGGTGTGACACATGGGGTTTTCCTAGGACGCCAGAAATCCTGCCCATCAGCTCTCTGCCAAGCCAGCTCACAAAGGCCCAGAAGGGCTCTGACTTGTGAAGGGGACATGAACTTAGCAACTTTCTTCTCTTTCTTGCCAGAGTGAGGTGCTAAGAGAGATGGGCAAGAGGGAAGGAGGCAACACAGAGATAGCGGGCAGTGAAGACATAGGGAAGGGTTATTTTAACTAAGTACTGCGACTGCCATCACCACCTAATCAAGATGCCCTCCCTGCTTCTGTCTCTCCCCACCCCTCCTTGCTTTCCTTCCCTTATATCCTTCCCAGAAATATATACAGTCGAATCAAAGTCTACCCTCCTCCAGATGCTCCATCACTCACCTCTAACCTCAAATGACTTTTAATAACTTAATATATTCCTTTCTCAGACCATTTTATTATGCATGTGACAACACATACGTGTATCTTTCTTTTTTTGTTGTATTGCTTTGTTTTATTTTACAAAATGGATCAACGTACATGCTGTTCTGTGTCTTTTTTCTTACATAAAAATATGCACATTTACAAGATGAGCCTTTCCCCCTCCCCTGCATTTCATAAAAGAGGAGGGAGCAGAGCCAGCTTCAGACCCCGTCACTCCCCATCCAGCTGGTGAGACACTGGTCTGCTCTACATGTAAAAAATTCTCCATTCTTGCTTTTCCACACTCTCTGCCTACTTCCTTATTCTTTTAGGTCACTTTGATTATTTAAACAGCAGGTTCAGAAGTAAAAACAGTGGGGTACATGAATAAAATGCAATTACTGTACCAGGTTGAGGTTTTTATGGTTTTTTTTTTAAGCCATCCTTTCTCCAGGTTCTTAGTACTCAGTTGCATTTTATTTTTTGCCAGAGTTCACCAAAAAAATCAATAGTGTATTTTATTGGATTGGACTATGAATCAAAGGCAAAGGAAGGGAGGGAGGGAGGGAGGGAGGGAAGGAA